TAAATGTAGCAAGATAAGAAACAACAGCAGCTTCAATATTTATTAAGCTTCAATATTCATTAGATTCATTGGAGAAATTCATAAAAATGAAGATAGATTAAATTCTCTACTTTAGGTTATTGATCAGATAGTTTTGGTTTGTTTTTTTTCCAGATTGAAATGTGTTTTTTAAAAATTGCTTTCTACAGATGGGCGGCACAGTGAGGTGGTGGTTTGCGATGGGGTTCTGGGTTCAAGTCCTGGGGGAACCAAGGCCTCTCTATGTGGAGTTTGCATGTTCTCCCTGTGTCTGCATGGGTTTTCTCTGGGTTCTCCAGCTTCCTCCAACAGTCCAAAAACCTCCATATATGGTTGACTGGACATTCCAAATTGCCCTTAGGAGTTAGTATGAGTGTTTGTTCTTGTTTGCGTTTCTCTTTGTGACTCTGCAGGGTTGCCCACTGACTACTGAGACAGGCTCCAGTCCCCCAGCCCTACCCAATTAGGGAATAAGTGGTTATGATAATGGAGGGATGGATGGATGTTTTATTCAGACATATCCTTAATAAGTAATTTATTTCATGGGTCTTCGCATTGCCATGAGGGAAATTGTCTTTTTTTCCTGTATTCTTTATCCCACAGAACTTCTTTTATGCACAAATATTGTGAAGTTTAGGGAGAAGTTTTTATTTTCATAAATGACATGGGAAAAGTCTTTCCCCCCAACTGTGGAGGCAAGTTTTGATCATTTGAACACTAGCCAAACTCCCTGTCTGCCTCCTAGTGACTGGTCAGTAGTTAATTAATACAATTTTACTGATTTATTTTCATGCATTTCAGTGGGACAGGTTACCCAAAGACCTATACATTTGCGCTCAGCTGCAATGTATTTTACTTTTGTGCTGCAGTTAAATGAATATTTGATGATACGTGGTTCAGTGAAGTAGGGCAAGAAAGCTGCTTGTCAAGATAAATTTGTTGACTCACAGTGATCTAAACTGTAACTTTGGCATGAATGACCTTCTGGAGATGTCGTATCTAAAGTTCCTCCCAGAAAGACTTTGACAGTCTATTTGGCACCATGTCTTCTTACTCAGTATAAAGTTGGCAGTATTGTTTTTTGTTATTGTTTTTTTCTTAAAAAATATATGCAAGCCCCCACATTTCCACATCAATAAAGGCGGACAGTTCAGAGAATATACACTGGAAATAATTGAAATCTAAAGAAGTAATTTTTTCTTGAATTGAGCAGCTAGGTGAGAATATAAAATATTTTATTTAAAACATATTTTATTTTGAATATAAAAATAATTGCATTGGCTATTTTCCAATGCATATTATCTAATTGTCTTAATTTAAGAGTAAAAATGCTCACTCCATTGGTAAATCATCTTATTTACCTACCTTATACACTGAATTTAAGAAATTTTTACTTATTTCTAGATCGTTTTTGCAGTGTGGATGTATCTCTTTATAATCAATGCCTGTGTGATCCTCCTCAGGTTTGCCTGGGCAGAAGCTGCACCAAATTAGCCAGTTTATTGTCTGATCTGATGCTGCTGGCCTGACTAACCTAGTCAGAGTTTGTGTTGTTGAACTGATTTCCTTAACGCACCATTCATTTTATCCATTAGGCAATTTTTGTTTGGGTTTGGCTAAAAAATGTAAAGCTGGCATCAGCAAAACCTGCTCAGGAGAGAAATTTACAATTTTTCCATCCATTAAATAAACATAAAATGATGCTTTAAAAGAATCTACACCCTGCCGAAACGCTGTTAAGATAGTTTTTGTTGTGCACTGGTGCTACACACACAAACACGTCTGATTTAATGTGAAATGTCAAACAGCCAAAACATTTAAAGCCTCCCAGTTTTGTAATAGCATGTTTCAGTGTGATGCCTCGTCCATTCTGAAATCTGAACTCTGCTTCACCCTCCTTACCACCTTTTACAATCTGCAGCGCCATGAATAAAGCCTAGGGGTCTTCCCCATGGCTATTAACTTGATATGAGTTGTGCTGCTTTTTTGCTTTCAGGATCAACTTTATTTTTTTATTTATTTTTTTTTTTTATTTTACAATAACTTAAAATAATCTGCAAAAAAAGACTTGCACTAAGTCTTCTTCCTAGTTTGGAAAACCGGATGACAAACCGCAGATCTGGAGTACATGTCATGGGTGGGTGCATGTTGTCTTTTCAAAGAGGTTTGTTTTTAGTCCTCTCTTCTCCCCTCTGCACCACATTCAACTATGCATGCTCTTTTTTTGTAATGTTATTTACTGGACAGCACAATCAAATGAAAGGCAAGCACTCTTCAGCAAACAACAGTAATTGTTAGTGGCCATTGTATTAAGCCATTCAGCATGCACTTGAGCAAAGCATTAAAAAAAATTGTTTTTTTTGTGTGTCATTTTTTTGGCAGATTTGGAGCATTTACGTCATTATGGATTATTCCCCCTGCTTTATAGATAAATGTGCACACAAGCATCACTTAAACAAGCTGTTTTTTGTTGTTGTAGAACAGACTGAAGCAAGAGATATGATGGTTTTCTAAGATGTTTTTAGATTGAATAGCCTCAGGAAAGACACCCAAACAACTCTAAGAGGTCAGTCTGGCCTCTGCCTGGATGGCCCTCTTAGCTGTCCTCCAACCTGGAATCAAGATGTGCAGAAGTAGCAGAAAAGGCTTGGGGATATTTCCTGTTACCCGGAGTTAGTAATGCTAAACAGCATGTGTCCTGACGGACCTAGAAATATGTTTGTAAGCTGACTGAGGGGCCATAACTCTAGGAGTTTCTATTATACCAGCCAGATTTACAAGCCTAATTAGCCTCACACCTTAATGCTCATTAGTCCTACCTCAGCTCTCAGTAAATGGGCCATCTGGTCCTAATTATCCTGCAGAGAGGACACCCTAACATGTCCAATCTCGGAAATGTTTGGGATTTGTCTGCAAACCTTGCTATATTTAGCATTACAGGCGGTGCTGTTTGGCCATCAGTTGTGCACATTCTCCTAGTGTAAAATTATCTTAGATTTGATTAAGAAGCATTTTTTTATCAGCAGATTCTATACTAGTGAAAATAATAAACTACTGTCAAACGAAAATCATCAGTCAGTTATTTTCCATTAAAATCATATAATTTATATATATTACAGCTTTGATATTTATGAAATATAAATATGAAATATATGTTAATATTAGAAGGTTCATTAGTCATATTGGTTTGGAAGCAACCCGGCAGTCAGATAAAAGTTTTCATCTTATAGCTTCCAGCTGTAGCGTGACTTTATTCAGCTTATCAGAAACAAGTTTGAGAGGGGTAGTGCTGCCTATTTATATTTATGCTGCCATCAATATTAAACTCCAGCCACCGCAGCATGTTTCCTGGCACCTTACAAAAAGAACATTAAACTGAGGAAACACATGAGAGAAGATTTAATGTAGTTTTTGAAACATAAAAAAAACCTTGATATATCTGAATAGAGGTAACTGGACCTAGCTATTGAGGCAGACATAAATTATATTGAACTAGAAAAGTTGCATATTTGTGTAGTAAAACCAATCATGCTTATAACAGTTTTTCAGATGAAAGATACTTTAAGTTTGAAAAATATGAATCCTGGTTATCACTGGTCAATTAAAAAAAAGTAAAAAAACAAACAAAAAAACAATCCACTGGACTTTGTTTCCAAGTTTGAAGATGTTTTGCTTCCTATCCAGGAAGCTTTTTTAATTCAAAATGTCAGAAATTGCCTTGAGTTCAAGGCTTCTGACATTTGGAATCGAAAAAGCTTCCTGGATGGGAAGCAAAACGTCTTCAAACTTGGAAACAAAGTCCAGTACATTGTTTTTTAACTTTTTTGAATGACTATGACCTGGATGACTGAGAATCTTCACCAGCATAGAATTAGTCAATGTAAAAGAAGTTGCTTATTACTGTAATATAGAACGTGTTCATAGACCCTATTGAGGCATCATGTTTTTCTCCCCGTTGGCAGGCACAGTTTTCAAACCCCCAGCTCTCTATTTCCCTTATTTTTAACATCTCCTGCAGTGACCACTTTGGTTAATCATTGTTTGTCTCCTGTGCTAAGTTCCAAAGATCGGTGCAAAGCAGGCAACTGAGGGAAATTTGCCTCAGATTGTGTTACTGACTAAAGGAGAGATACTGAGTGTGTTTAAGCATGTTTGTGTTTAAGAAGGAGGGAACCCCACTAAAAGCCTCATCGGTGGCAGGACTGTTATTCAAAGAAGAAGAGCTCTGATGTATGTCTTCTCTATAGCAGGACGCATGATGAAACACATATTATATTTTGCCGATCGCTGTTGCAGAATTTAATCTGCATTTTTCACAGCTTAGTTTTATTTCAGTTGCAGCCATTTAGAATTGACTAGCAGTACATTTTTTGATGATATCAACACATGCCTTGACCTGGAATAGTAAGGTTAGGGTTAAAGTTTGTGACCTTAAGTGGTCACAAACTTTAACCCTATCTGATGGTGTGAAATGTACAATAGTCTTTGTTTTTATATCAGTGGTACCAGTCTTGACCTGATTTCAGGCCAGACAAGAGTGCCCCCGCCACTAGGGGAAAATACTACAATCATTCCTGTTGTTGTGCTACCGCATATGCATCTAGTGGTTGTTACACTGCACGGCTCATTTACCAAATAGAACTCTTTAGTTTAGATTTAATCAAATGTAACTTCCTGTGGAGATATTTTAAATGCGGCTTGAACCGTCCAGCTGCTGTTGCTGTTGACAGGTTAGAAAGCAGGCATGCAGTTTCTGGACTCCATACATCACAACTTGTCTGTCTTTTATGACACACCGCTCTTATCTGTTGCATAAATATCTACCAGTAAAAAAAAAAAAAAAAAAAGAATACATCAGCATGACCCGCCCTCTTATGAACCAGAACCAGAACAGAATGGAATTTGAAACGTTTTAGCCAAAAATGTTTCCATGGTCAAGGTGTTTTTTGCAGAAACGTTTCAGATTTCGTTCTGTTCTCCAGCTTCGCTAGAGTCCGTCGGGAGCTGGAGGTGATCGATGCCTAGGTGAGTGACCTCTGGCACACACTGTGACACGCTCAACCAAACACTGATTGGTTTTAACGTAAGAGTACAGCCGACTGGGAGTCACTGACTGAGTGCAGCTCCTCTCTGCTGTGACTGTGTCTCTGATGGAAAAAACAGCAGCTCCTGGAGACTTTTGACCCTGTACATGATGTCCTGAAAAGTTGGCTGCTTTATTCTTAGTTGAGGCTTCGCTTTTTAAATCAAAGATTAAATATGAATCAGAGTACCCTTTGTTTTTTTGAATTAGCCTGTTTGGATAAAACTAGAGCATTGAATTTAATCTTTTATTTAACTTCTGTTCCTTTATTTCCCTTCATTCTAAATCTGATGTAAATATGACCCAGCATTTTCCTGTTTTGGTCTTCTTATTACGTCGGGGTAATGCAAGCCAAGTTAATGTGTTTCCTATGAGCTTTGATGGATTGTGTGTCTCTGTGTCACTTAGGCTGTGTGGTGAGTGTAGATAAGCCCCTTATGAGGTGAAAAGCCCTCCCCATCCTGCAGTATCCCCTCCCAGCACCACCAGCAGGAATAAGGGATGTCAGGTCTGTTCCTCTTTCTGGCAGTCCTCATTGTCTCCTGCAGCATCCAGGTGGGTTTCATTACATCTTTAACGTTAACAGGCAAATGCAAACTACATAGGGAACCTTTTGATAGTTTAAAGAAAGGTTCAGAAAGTCTAAGTAAGGAATTAGTGAATTTATTTACACTTTTTGTAAGCTTGTTGATTATAAATTTGGAATAATATGTTAGAGTGTGGCAATTGAGAAGTGAAAATATGAAGACATTTTGTTTTTAACCATTCATAAATTGTTAACAATAAGCTGTGAATAACTTTGACAGGTGTAAAACATGATTTCTCACATTTCCTCAGAGATTGCAATGGGTATGAACAATTTCCAACATGCAATCTTAAATGTGCTCTATTAAAAAATACTTTTTCTAGCATTTTCTAGCCTTTATTTCTGTTATTAATGATTATTTTAAAGCCAATAGTATTCAAATATTATATTAAATCAATAAAATGAAGGATTCAATACAGAGCTATTGGTTAGAGGAGAAGTGTGCTTTACATCTGCCTCAAAATGTAATCTTAACTCTAACAATCGCGTCTGGTCAGAACACATATTATTATATTATTTTGTCATTATTTAAAGTCTATAATGCAAGCCATCTAAAAAATCTTTAAAGGCAAAATAGAACTATAGTATCACAGATCATCCACCATGGTTTACAATGGGTTGAAGATGACTTTTCACATATTATTTTACACTGAAACACTAATAAGGTATGCTAATAAAATAAGGAGACAACAACAACAACAGGACATCATAGCAAGAATGAAGAGACACCTCTAAAGGTGTTGAAAATACAACCCTGGTATCCCTCATTTGATTTGCATGTTTGATTGGTCCTTATTTAATCACTTTGGGCCAAAATGTATTTTTGTTACTATGGACCCACATGCTGATTATTGATCAGCCACATACATAGATTTGTGGTTTGAATCTGTAATCAAATGTTGCCAAACTGCATAAAATTGTGTCACAACTTCAACGATTTTTATTTTTTTACAGGGACATTGCCCTTAATTTCCCAGAAATTATATTGTGAGGAACAAGCAACAAAGATTGATTTTCAAAGACACTCTTTTTTACTTTGGCAGGATACCCAATTACATTAAGAGATAGTTTATATATTTTACCCAAATAGTTTTTATAGTCAAATATCATATGTTATTTTAAAAATGTTTGTGTGAAGCTCATGTTTTTTAAGATATTCAGTTGTTTACCTACTGTACTCTGATCACCACATCCACAGTAACTGAATCCTCAGGATGTTACTGCACATTTTATTGAATTTTATCCTGTGTGTGTCCCCCTAGATGTCTCCTGCTGTTACCTTGGATAAGCTGAAGGATGACTGGAACCAGTATAAGACAGAATGTGAACATAACAACAGTCAATATCCCTCCAGCAGTGGTAAGGTTACAATAAATGTATTTTTTTAGTTGTTTTTCTTTACTTTGAATCTTCCCTTTAACTATGCCTGCACTGGGTCCTACTGATGGTAGTTAAATATAATATAATGTAGGATCAAAAAATAGAAGTCCCTAAACCTGCCTGAACTGCATCCAAACACACATTTCCCCTCTATGTTGGCGCATCATGTCACTTTTGTCATTGTTTACTTTTTGGGGGGGGTTTTTGAGTCGAAAAGGGTCACATTGAGCAAACTTGTTTTCCAAAGTGGTTTTCTACCTTCTATGAAAATCAGCAAAACAACAAAACATACAACAATAGAGTAAGATTTTAGTGTTACCAAATGTTTGCACTTTTCAAACTACATAGGGATAAGATTTACAGGCCTTGCAACCAGGACAACAATAATACTTCTTACATATTATGTTTTTATGCAAGATAATGTCATATAAAAGCTGTAGAAAAGGCTAAAAATCTTAAGTGCAGATGAGATGCTTTAGACATAATAAGCGAACACATGGGGAAACAGTTTGAATTTGCATCCCCTAAAGACAATCTGAAGTTGCAGGAGATTTTCCACTTGTTATAGTTCCTGCCTATTACTGTTTTTTTACCTTAATGCAAAAAGAAAAGTGAGTGAATTTAGCTCTTCAGCTGCATTACCTTCTGTCCGCAAGTTCTGTTTTAACTTTTAAAACAAGCAGCTTCCCCCACTTTTTGCTATCTATATGAACTGAAGCTCTCAGTTCTCCAACGTTTCAACTCTTATATAGCGTCCCTGCTGTTCCATTAGAGTGAGAGCAGCTAAACTGCTATAGAGGACATAGAATACATCACTTTGTTCTCACAGGTCCCAGCTGTCGATACTCTGACAATCAGGACTGATATCCTCTGATGAGAGACATAATGAAACATGGGAGGAGTGATTTTGAGATGAAAGACTATAATTTTCAAGATACCATAATGAGATACCATAATGACTTCCAGCAAACATCCCTTCAAAGACTGTTGTGAAACTTGAAGAGTCAAAGACAAGCTATTAGGGCTACACTGATGCTTTTTACCCGCTTTCTTTTATTGTTTTTATCCTTAGGTCTTGTGTGCAACAGGACATTTGACAACTATACCTGTTGGCCTGATGGATTCCCCAACACCATCGTCAGTGTGGCGTGTCCGTGGTATTTGCCGTGGTACAATAAAGGTTAGAGACCTGTGAGTTTTTAGAAAACCATATAGCAGCATAGTCACAGAGAATCCAGCAGAAACAGACAGCTGTCTATGCCTTCTGTTTAAAAGTCTGTGTTTGTGTGTGTTTGGATAGTTCAACACGGGATGGTTTATCGTGAGTGTGATGCCAATGGCCAGTGGGTAACTAAGAAAAATACCAGCGAATGTGATATTCATGAAACAAACCGGGTAAGAATAATATTTTAACATAATTATTTTATTTATTTTATAATAAAATAAATATTTACCTGACATACTGAACATTCTTATAAGAATAGGGAATTAAAAAACATTCATTTTAAGTGGTTTCATCATTATAATTGCTAAGTAAAAGGTGGGTTCTTTTGTACATCAGGGAATGGGTTTTATACACTTTATACACAATAAAACTAACAAGAACCAAAAATTAGGACATCTGTTGCAAAATTCTGGGTAGCATGGCTGATGTGCGTATAGAATCATGTTACTGCTTCGGTTGCACACTAAAGAGTCTCAGAAAATAAAGGCAACTAACCAACCAACCCAGCTGAGAAGTGCACCCACCTCAAAGTTGTGCATAGGATCTATTTTCTGCTCTTTTGAAGACAGGTTCTGTTATTTCATTTTAAAATGAAGCTCTAGATTAAGTGGCATACTTTTTTACCTATTTCAAATTGTTGCAGCGTGATTCATAAAGTAGAAATAGAGTAAATACAGCCACATATTGAAACCAGTGAAGTTGGAGATGGTAGTATTCTCTTAATGTGTTGTGAAGGGGGAGCTGTCATCAGCAGCTAAAATAACAAACCTATGCAGAACAGTATTGCTGCTGACTCCTGACAAGACTAATTAATAATAGTTAAAAAATTATTAGGGCAATATGAGATAACAATAGCATCAGAAGTCATTAAGTCATTGAATCTAGTGCATCTAATGTTACATTGCCATTCCTGCTATTTAAATCAAACTTGTTAATAAATCTATAACAAATTACAAATCAAATGTATGTGTTTTTTATACATTATCTTGCAGCCTTACTATGGATATATCCGGATCATGTACACAGTGGGCTATTCCATGTCTTTGGTGGCGTTGGTACTGGCTCTTGGTATCCTTATATTTTTCAGGTACTATTTACTTTTTATGAATTTTTTTTTTGTACAAACTTGAGCAAAGAAAAAAAAAATGCAGATGATGTTTTAAAGAGATAGATTGTAGTTTATTGAACCATGCTGCTACAAACCATTTTAATTTAAACCACTGTAAATGAAATAAAAAATAAAAGCCATGTAATGATTTCCTATTAAGACTTTTCTTGTATTTTATTTTATTTTTGTCAGAAAACTGCACTGCATGAGGAACAACATTCACATGAATTTATTTGCTTCCTTCATCCTACGAGCCCTATCTGTCCTTATCAAAGACGCTCTGCTGGAGGCTAACCTAACCTTGGATAAGATCAGTGGAGAAGAGGAGCAGGGCTTTGTCAGTGAATCTGTACCCCCAGTGGAGTTGCTGGTAAGTGTGCTGAAAGGAAAAACTTAACACTCCACAATGAGTTCTTGGTTAATAAGAATATTCTCAATTATTTATGGAGGATAATTATCTTATAAGAAAGGTTTTCTAATTGTCAAGATCTCAAACTGCTGTCGTCCATGACACAATACAACTTGCTTTACATTTATTAGATATGTAAACTACTTACAAACTGAAATCATTTGCAACACACCCTGTAAAACGCAGAGTACTATACTCTACAATTTGCCCAATTCAGAATTAGGGATAGATAATACAATAGGAAGTAAATGGACTATTGTGCACACAAGACATAAACACTTTCACAATAAAGAAGAAAATTTGATTTACAAATAGAATTAAGAATACACAATACAATCAGGATCAAAATTGTATCTGGACAGAAATAAATGTAAATGAAGAACAAATAAAAGGAATTTCAAATAGTAGGAGTAAATAATCTGCATATTGAATTGAAACAAAACAAAAACGAGAGTTCATAATTGTTTAGATCACTTAAGACAGACTCATCATTTGAAGAGATGACACTTCCTGTATAAACTATGTTTTTTTTATTGATTATTTGAATTTTATGCATGAATAAGATGCAGGATTTTGTAAAGATATAGGTATCTTTAACCCTTAAACTGTTTCCCATAGAGGTAGAATAGAACAGGTTTCTTTTCTAATTACATTAACATGATTAAAACATTAAGTTATCAAGCATAGGTTTCAGGTGTCAAAATATATTTTCTTTTAGGGTCTAACTCAGAATTTTATTAAATATTTGTACACTGAGAAGATATTTTAGAATAGAAAATGGGAGAACAAAAAATAAAAGAGCTCAAAGTTTCTGAATTTTTTCGAAAAGTACATCAAACTGGGCCACAGCTTTAAATATAGGAAACAGAAAATTTTAGGTACTGGTAGACCAGATGAATCGTTTTCCTTTATTAGAACCATTGGTTTTCGTGCTTTATGGTTCTGCCACCTCAGTCATACTTTCTGCTGAAAGTATGTCATTCAATTTGGTAGCTCTGTCTGCCTAGAGGTTGGGGACAGATGAAGGATGGTGGGGAACCCTGGCGGCCAGACAGTGCTGGAGTCCTATCCCACACAGGATTACAAAATGAAAAGAATTACATAAAAATTTAATTTAAAGATTTTAGGCCATAAAATAGAATAATTTGAATCATTTTGTTTGTCCTGTATAAAAGGTCCCTCATGAAATAATTTGTAGAAATACCTTCAGGCCTAAAATTGTTGAAGTAGCAGTGATAGGTCTGCATTCGTGCACCACAATGAATACAAAACACAAGCATGGTTTAACTGCTTAAACCCTCCTGTTGAGTCTGTGTTACATGACGAACAGAGTTGGGTTTCTGTTTGTAATAAGCTTATTCTCAGTTATTAATTACATACTTACAAAATATTACCTTGAAACTAAAGGCCAACCCTAAAAAAATATTAAGAAGTCCTGGTATTACATTTCTGACCCCGGGCCTTATAAGGCAAAAGTGGATGACATATGGCCGAGCAATATTTTAACACTTCAAAATTAGATTAACTTAGATATCCACAAATGCAAAGCAAATATTTATTGCATTAAAGAGTGGTCAATCGGTTAGTGATTTTCTTTGAGTACAGAAGCTTAATTCTGAGGTTCTGTCTGGCACCTTAAATAAATGCTTTTCAGTTAAATAACCTCTATGAGGGTGGTGACTAATTAGCTTTAGCTTTTTAGGTAACCTAAACATTACTAATGTCAAGCATCCAATGAGCTGCATTGCATTCTCCAATGGAGGGATTCACAGATGTGCAACTTTATTATAAATATCAAAGGGTAACAGCAGCTAACTATTGATCCTAAATCCCACAGTCAGAAGGAGATGCCATCAGCAGAAGCAATAATCCGACCATGTTTAGCTGGAAATGCATCTCTAGTATTATAAATTTCTCTTTCATGAATTTCTCTTGCAGATGACAGTTAGCTGTCGCACGGCCTTGGTGATGATGCAGTACAGCATCATGGCTAACAGCTACTGGCTGGTGGTGGAAGGCATCTACCTCCATAACCTTCTGGTCATTAGCGTCTTCACAGAAAGGAACTATTTCAAAGTGTACCTGTGCATTGGTTGGGGTGAGTTGTCCCATTTGGTATCCATAGGTGTGTCACCATGTCAGCATATGATCAACGGGAATAAAGGCTAAAGCAAAAAATAATAGTTTTTCATACTTTTTCCACAGGTACGCCATTATTATTCCTCATCCCATGGGGAATCTCAAAATATTTATATGAAAATAATGAGTAAGTTCCTTTGTTAATTTTTAAGTGACAAAAACATTTTTTTTCCTTTATGTAAGCTCATTAACAAAGTATTTTCACAAGGCGTTTCTGATGGACTCTTAATGTTTGATTTTAAATCCACAGTAGCTAGTTATTGCTCTGAGGTTATGTTCAATTATCTCATGGTCGGGAGTTAAGATATTAAAATGTCAGAAATAATTTAAGTTAACAGTTAACACCAGTGGCGGCTGGTGAAAAATATTTTTGGTGGGGCTGATATAGCCTAGTGTATGTCTCCAACTAATCCGGAATAAGAATTCAAATAAACAATTGGACAATACATACAATTTAACAGTAATGATTTAATTTACTATATAATAACTAACAGTGATGATTTGGGTCACTGTGACGGGGTTCTTTGGCCTCCAAGAATCCAGGCTCAGTCGGGTTATCGGTGTTGGTGATTTATTGTGCTCAAAAACTCAAAACAGGGTGCAAAAGAAACTAAACATACAAGATACTCTGGGCCTCAGCCTCCCTCCAGTTACCATCAATGTAACAAAGAAACAGACAACAAAAATTGCCGCTTTTCTTCCCACAGCCCTCATTAAATAGTTTAAGCCCCTACCCTCAGGCTCTCTTATTTCTGATTTCTTCTCATGAATCAGTTTTGTCCATATATTACCTCCACAAACAATTGATGTACAAAAACAAATAATTTTTACAACTTAATTCTTTTACACAGATTCATTGACTTATTCAATTACACCAAACTGGGTTTGAACCCAGCAAAGACGCAGCCAGACTGAAGATGACAAGTCCCCATAGCATAAACACGTACACACCCACACCCCACACACACACACACACACACACACACACACACTAACCCCACTGAAATATTAAGTGTGCACCCTCAATACGCCAGCAGGTAACCAGGAACAGCTTGTGTGTTTCAAGTTAATGGACCGCTACTGGGCTCAGCGCGAGTGTATTGGTCCTCACAAGCACAGTATAACAGGAATGTGTGTGTGGCGCGCAAAGTTAGAGAGGTTGTTTTAAGCGACGAGGTGGATTCGTCACAGTCACAATAACCATGACATGAAATGTTCATATCCTACAACAGGGATATTCTTCTGGCAAACGGGTAGATAAATAAGGATCTCACCGAATTTGGTGGAAGCTGCATCTCGGTCGTTACATTCGCCATCTTCCCTCTAATTGTCTGCACCTGCGCTTGGGTTCAGAAGCCTGTTAAAGCGCAGTATTTTCAGCGCCCCAAGACCATAAAGTTCCGAGACGCTGATTGGCCATTAAATTCACCTAGCAATAGTACATGATTGACAGATTCTTTGCAAATGTGGGGCTGTCTGATCACAGCCCCCAGAACAGAGACGGTAGTAGTCTGTCTGTGGAAATCCACAAATTAATGACAGTAGATAGGGAAATGTAGTTTATATAATTTGTTTTGCTTATAGGTACACAGTCTAGAGAGTAAAACTGACATTTATGAGTTAATTTCTAAAAATATATTTTACGTTTCTCTCTTCTTATCAGGGGGGGCGGTGCCCCAGCGCCCCCTATGGGCCGGCCACCACTGGTTAACACCTTCTCGCATGACATTTAGTGGTAAAAAGAGGGACGAGAATCTAAAAATCACATTTTCTAAATACCAAAAATCATCAGTTAGCACAAAAAAGTGTTGCAAATCTAAAAAAAAAAACATTGTAAATTAAAAATCAAGTGTTTGAAAACATGACAAATGTCAAGAAATGTTTTGCTGATATTCTTTTCAATGCATTTCTATGCACAGATGCTGGGAGCAGAATACGGACATGAGTATCTGGTGGATAATCCGAGCCCCAAATCTGCTTTCCGTCATGGTAATTTACAGCAACATCCATTTTTTATTCTTTATTTTTATGTCCAATTTTAGAACCAATGTAATCCCTAGAAAATCCCACACGCACAACCAGCGTTTCCACTTGACTGCATTGTGTTTTTGTCAAATTGCACAGTATGCAATATTAAAAACAGCTAATTTATTTATGGAGTGTGAAAAGCTGGCTAGGCTTCAGATATAATGTCTGGGAAGCATGTTAGCCCTACTAAGATTCTAGGTTAAATGCAATTATCATTCATTTTATCCAGCAACACAGTTCATGTGTGCTCTGCACGGGTCAGTTCAGACTGTTTATGTTGCTCCGATCGGTCATGCAGCCAGACATCCTGGCATGTTCCATGCATTAATCGTGCAGCTAAGTGGCCTGTATCCCCCAGGAATTCCTGTGTTTGAGTTGTTTGTAGGAATGGCAGGGCTGGTCCTCCTTTCAGAGTTTCCCTGGTTTTCCTTATCCGTTTTTGTTTTCTTTCAAGCTCAACATCAGAGCAGAACAATCCAAAACACTTTTAAAAACAAGAAATCTCTTTAAGAAAAATAATTAACCTACCTTGTGCAAAAATATGAATCCTAAAAATATATTATTCACTGTGATCACAGCCCACTGGGATCACATTTAAAACATTTAGTAAAGACAATGTAGATTCATCAATATTTTAGGTTTCTCTGAAAACAAAAATAACAGATTCATGTGTCCAAATTAGGCTCAGCACACTTTCCTCACTCAAGTCCCCCCAAATTAACATGTTAAATCCTGATGTATTTTATCTAAGAAGCACCTGCTGGTTCTTTAAAATGCCAGCTGAAGTAAAAAAGCTGAAATCTGTTCAGAAATGTTAACTGTTCCGCATCACAAAGTTACACAAGAAGTTTAATTTTTTAAGTATTTCTAAACAAAAGCTGTTATTAAAGGCTTTTGTTGTTCTTTATGCCTATTTTATTTTCACATTTGGTTTACTAAATAAATTCCTACAACCTTAACATAACCAGAAATACAATGTTTATGATTTATATTTTTTTCAGACTAAATTTCAGGCATTGATTACAATGTGGCTGGAATCAATAATCATCAAAGGATTTTACTTTCTGCTTTTAATATCTTTAACTCAATTTATTGAAATTTCTTTTGTTTTTGTTTTTATCTGTGGGTTTTAGATTTCTGCAGTGCAATGCCGCAGGCTTAGATCTTAATCAGTTATTCTAATCTGTTCTGCTCCATTCTTTTATTTTCAGAAGTTCTTATCTTTGGACTTTTTCTCTTATATTTAAAGAAACTTCCAGTCAGATTTGTTGCATTTGAATGCCTCTGTGATAATTTCTTCCAGTATTCTGAAGATTCTATTTCCTTTTTTTTCTCTGGTAAATAATTTCTTTCCAAAGTATTTGTGCTGCATGATTTTTTTCCCTTTGATATAACAACCGAACATTTGTGTGTGTTGTTGGGATTTCACTGGCGACCATCAGTTACAGCCAACAGATTATCAGTAGCCTTTAGAACTTTAAAGCTTGGTTAAATTAATATCTCAGCCTTTAGAAATCTTTGAAGGAAATATTTAGTCCATCATCTTAAACTGGATGAAGAATGCTACAAAGGCAAGCCTACCAATACATTGGTGACCTTCTAAACTAAATAATCCGGCCAGGAAAGCATTAATCATGGAAACAGCTAGAAAGACCATGCTAACCTTGGAGTAGCTCCAGATATTTACAGTACTGTTAGGAGAATCTGTCGACAGGACCGTCAAGACTCCTGGCTAGGTGGCCCGCTCTTCCTCCAGGCCCTAGACTCCAGGCGGCAACCGGAGAATGGGGGTGTGCGAAATACCCCAATTCTTCCTGCTCCCGCTCAAATGTTGTCTTGTTGCATGTTGTTCTCAAGTGTAATTAAAACTGTGAGTACCAAAGGGGATGCCCGGCACAGTCCACCCCCCCCTCCTGTAGGTAGCTTGTGCCAGCGTACCCTCCCAATGAAACAGTCAGAACCCAGAATCTCTAAATGCGAGAGGGGCTGGAGGGAGCCATTCGAGTTGAGGTCCACACAATAAGCCCACCCCAGGTGTCTTTACCCCTCACCCACCCAAACAATAGCATACATAGATGTGTCTTGTGAAAATGTTGTGAATGAAAGTGTCTAAAATGCAGAATAAAATTGGGGTGAGGGACATCATCAGAAGGTGGGAGCCTCCAGTAATGACCCCCTCCCCAAGGTCCTACATGTGTGGCAGCATGATGGAGCAAGCAGAGGGAGGAGGGAGGAAGATTTTATTTCTTCCAGCTCAGCTTCGCTTTAACGTGAATCAGATTATTGTTTTTTTTTTTCACTCCTTCTCTTAGACAGTTGAGTTCAAAAAAAGTTTTTTAACTGGAGTCTTGTTATCCTAATCCTTATCTTTGTTTTGAAATCTTTAACGGAATCATAAGCAACTCCTTTTGTAAAGTATTCCCTCTCTGTTTGACTTGGATAACGATATGTGTTGCAGAACTTTTCCCTTGGTTGGGTGTTGTGCAATAGCTTTCTTTGCTTACCAAAGGCTTTCTGGAATCATCCACAAATGCTATCTTCAATGGACGCCCAGACTTTCTTACGTTGCTTTCATTAAAATATTTTAACTCCATCATTTAGATTACATTTATTAATCCTTGCCCAATAGAAGAGTGAATGACAACCTTAGGGACGTCTTGAATCTCAAAGACTAAAGAATCTGGCTTTTCTTAGCAAGCAGGGTCCTTATCCAGTAAGCATTGTGAAACTATGTTGTTTTTTTAAACAGTAAGTCTATAGATTTATTTGACTGGGTGTTTTGAGTCGGAATCCCACAACAAGAAATCAACAAACTATTTAGTTAATTGCCAGCTAAGCAAATTAGATTATTTCTGGTCACCATCAGATTGATTTAAATGTTAAAAAAAAACATTCATGGTTTAGTTTAAAACTGCTGGAAATAAACAAAAAAATGGCGCATGTAAAAATGCATGCAATTGAAACAGCATTTCTCAGTTACAAAACACTGAAAGTGTGTTAAAGTAGCAGCAGACACTCTAGAATGTTCTTTTACAACAACAGTAATAAAACAATTTTTAAGCTGTAACGAAAATCTTTCTGTCTTTTTTCCAGATAAACTTCATTATCTTTATACATATCATCAAAATCCTGGTTTCAAAGCTTCAAGCTCACCAAATGAGATACACCGACTATAAAGTCAGGTGAGTTTTAATGTGAAATTCATCTTTTTCATTTGTGTTTCTTATTTGCAATTTAGTTTATGTTTTTTATTTTCATTTTTTTACATCTCAGGTTGGCAAAGTCAACTCTAACATTGATCCCACTTCTGGGAATCCATCAGATGTTCTTTATCTTCCTGCCTGATGAGACCACCAACGACACGCCACATTTACATATCACTAAGCTCTTCATGGACCTCTTCTTCTCCTCCTTCCAGGTTGGAGCAACGTTTTAGGAGCTAACATGTATAGGAACCTAGTTTTGCATTTATAAATTAAATTCTCTATGGTGACATAACAGTAATAATAAAGAGCTTTAAAAAAGATAAACTGCTGTTCTATATAGAAAGTCATGCATAATGTCATGGTTCAGCAGGCACTGCATAAAAACACTTACCGGTAAATCTGCCTAAAAATAAACCATCAAATTGTGTAAGATTGTGGTGCAGTAAAAGGTTCTGCTGAGGAAAAAAAAGAGAAATAGGTCCTATTACTTTTTAAAACACAGATGTCCCTCAGATGTACACGCTTGTACTTTTACTAAGAATGACTATCCTGATATACAATAACTTACTTCAAAAATGGTTTTTCATATCTGTTCCATCTCTGTTCTCTTTGTTTCTTGTTTATTTCTTTTCCCTGCATTCATAAATCATAACCTCAGCTCACAACGTGTCTCCTCCAATCAGGTCCTCGTAGCCGTGTCCCTCCTAGTTGTGACACGAATCCCTTTTCACACTGTTGTTTTTTATGTGATACTGTATACAAAGAGACACATATTCTTATCAGATTGCACTGCAGGAGAAAATAAAGACAGAATAAGAGAAAAGAACCGAAACAGGATACAAAGGAGTAAATTTAAGCGCTAATATAATTAAATATTAATTTTTAACATCGCATGTAATGCAAATACAGATTTGTTCCATTGATTATGTTGAAAATTATCGTGTTTTTTTCTCAGAAAACTAATTCAACCCCTTGACATTTATTTGCCTTTAAGTAGTTCCCATTTTGTTATTTTAAACCTTCGATTCATTTTAGAAATACATTAAAATATCAGTATATTAAAAATTTGTGACAATATTTATAACCGTCAACATCAACATACACCATTACCTGTTGTAACAGAATAGGAACATGCCAAAGGTTCCTAAGTTCACGCTGATGTGTAATAACCGGAGGTAGGCACATGCTATCTTTGCTTTGTAAATAATAGAAAATGTTTTTTTTTTGTATATTTGCAACAATGGGTTTCAAGTTGTATTTAAAGCTTAAATTAAACTGCACATATTTTTGACAAATTTAATCTAAATAAGCCAGAGGAAAATAATTATTTTGAGACTCAACTGTAAGTTTTGTTCAAAGTGGTACTTATAAAAAGAGCACCCTGGGTGAGATACCTACCTAGACCAATAGAAATGTCATCCTCATTCTGATTGTGTAAAAATACAATGCTCTAATGCACATGTATATGGGTGGTAAATCTTAGACACATCTTTATGAATGCTGGGCAACTGCCCATATGGTTTCCAATGATTTTATTTATTTGAATGAAAGAGCTGAAAACAGATATTCCTGTGGTCTCGAAAGTGTTATTGCATTTAGACAGATGCTCTAAGTCTAACATTGTATATGATGTCTTCTCAGGGTCTCCTTGTTGCTATTTTGTACTGTTTTGTCAACAAAGAAGTGAGTATCCTGAGCAACATTTACTAGTTTCAGGCTCAGATTTTTACATTATCACATTTATAATGTCTTTTGTGCTCTCACAGGTGCAGTCTGAGATCCTAAAGAAGTGGAAGCGCTGGAAACTAGGGAGGAACATTGAGGAGGAATATCGCCACACCTACAGCAATACCAACAATACAAAGACGGGCAGTCTGCTGAACCACATCCCTCGGCTTCCCCAACTCCCGGACATCGCCAAATCTTCTGGCCCGGTCTGCAGCACTGAAGAGCAAACATGGCTTGTGGCTCGCTGCCACAATGGTACGGTCCATGGCAAGGAGATGGACAACTGTAGCTCCCAACAGAACGAAGGAACCAGCAACTCCACCCTTGTGGAGGATATCAGCCTGTCGGATAAGATACACAAAAGATCGGAAAGGGAAAGTAGAGAGCCTCCTTTGAAAGAAACAGGAGAGTGCGTTTTGGAAAGGAAGATAGACGCCTTTGAGCTCTGATGGAGCTCTGACTGAAAGCTCTAGTTGGCTGTGAAGTTATGCCGACTGATTCACTTGTGGAAGCAGTCGTCAGTCATCAGTGTCACCAGGAGACAGAGCAGCTCTAAGCCCTGAAATATGACAGCAGTATGGCATACGTCCAAATCCGAATGCTCTGTGTGCTGTGGGTCTTGTGAATGGATTATTATTGATGTTTGTCATTTTAATATATGAAGCTGCTGCCTGTTGAACAGATGTACCAACAGCAGCAAGAAAATAACAAGTAACTTTAAATGAAAACACACAGAGTTGGTGTGAGCCTCTGCTTCGGTGTTATCTGTTTGGCTAATGTGTGTTTCGTGGTACTACAAACTGAACATTGGACTGTGCACACAAAAAACAAGACCAAATGACAGAAGAAGTAGAGCAAATGGGAATGCTTGTGTACTCTATATGCTCTACTCTGGTATGTACATAATGCCATCTTCATACTGATATTAATGAAACATTACACATGGAGCGAGTGAGAGAAACAAAATTCTGGTGACTGAAGTTAGCCACAAAATTGTTTTCAATAGTATATATATATATATATATATATATATATATACACACACAAAGGAAATCAAAGTATATACAACCTGTTTGATTTTGTTGTGCCTGTGACACTGAAGGACAAGTTGTATAAGATGGATGGATGGATGGATGGATGGATGGATGGATGGATGGATGGATGGATGGATGGATGGATGGATGGATGGATGGACTTTCTTGCGTTGCTTTTGCTAAGTGTAACGGTTTTATATCGGTCACAGTTGTAAAAAGTAATTAGCCCGCAATTTCATGTTACATTGCGAACAAACGTTAATGTATTTTGCTGGAATTTATGAAAGCAGATCATAAAAACAGTATCACATTATTGAGAAGTAACACAGAAGAATAGTCTTTTTCTTCTCCTATTCACAAATATAAATATCAAGAGTGAGATCAGATGCATGACTTCAACACAATATTTTGGCTAGTTTTTTCTTCATCCGTACTCCAATATTTTGTAAAAGGGTATAAGAGTAAAAATGAATTTAAATGCTTAAAAGTATTTTATTTTTTATATTGCAGCATCAAAAATAGGTATGCCTAATTAAGTATAAGTAACAAGTATGCCTATATATATATATATATATATATGGACAATAAATGTAGGTCAGACTGTAAGCACCATCTTTTTATAGACTGTGTTTACCCGACATCCATTCTGAACAACAGTAGCCTAAAAGTGAAACAAAGTTTCTTTAATTAGCTTTCAGATGATAATGTTAGCAGTACAATTGCTTGTAAAATGAAGGATTTGCCACCTGCGGAGTGTTAATTAAACTTTCAGTTACTAAAAAAAATATGCCAGAGCTTGTATGACTTGACTATTTGCACAGTGTTAATTTATAATTGCTAAATGTTATATACATTTATTTAGGTGCTTATTCAGATGATTTAGTATTCTTGTAAACAAGTGTTTATACAGGGTATACACTTTTGACTTTATTATTCCAGATTTGTGGATGTATTATTAAACAGGATTACGCTCTGAAGCCAAAAGGCTATTTGGTTGATGAAAAACAGAGGGGCTCAGAGGTTAAAGGCTGCTATAATTAAGCCCCAGTCTGGCATTTAGACTCAAAGTACAGGACATTCCCAGATCTCATGCCAATATACTGCATAAAGTGAAGTTTTTGTTTAAAAGTCCTCATGGACCTCACAGCAAATTCGAGCACTGCAGCAACATTTTCGTTGTGTCAGATAATTGTTCTGCTCCCAGTCAGTTTCTGCTGTTGAGTGGGTAGAAACAAAATTGCAGGCAAAAGCTATTTTCCATCAGCATCTGCTGAGGGTTGCCACAGAGCAAGTAGACACCCAATAATTGAGCTGGAAGGCCAGTGCTAACAGCGTTGCTGCAGAAGTGGAGGGGAATGCTTGCATACGCAAAAGGAATGAGTAATGACTGGTTTTGGTAAAACAGGAGCCTATCACTAATTTCAGTGGAAGGTAAAATGTGTATTTTAATTAAATCTGACTTAGAGCATAGGTTTGGGTCATTAACCCCCTTCGTGGACCAAAGTGGTTCTGTCTGAATGTATTCTTGGAAAGGCTCAAATCAATATGTTTCTTTACACTTCTCTGTTATGTAAAGCATGGAAGGGGCAGTGGAGGCTGACTGCATTCATGCGTAAACAATCCTTCATATTGTATTATATTCATGCCAATGGTGAAAGAATAAAATTAAATGTATGTGAAACATTTACCTCACAATGTATTTTGTATTGGTGGACATTTAAGACATTAAAGAAATGGTAAAGCATTTGCTTATTAAACTGCTTTCTTTCGTAGTAGTTTTGGTTACTGTGAATATTTTTGACTGATTAGGAGGTGCTCCTAACAAAATTAAATATTGATTTGCTGTCTGGTTCAGGATCTCATTTAAAAGCCATTGTAATTGAATGATTGGGATTATTTTCTAAATGCAACTTTTTTCCTATTCCAGCTTCACTTAAGACTGCATAGCCAAATGCTTTAAATGTACAGTCTGTAATAATTTCAGGCATTTACTGACATAAATGCAATATATTATTCATATATATCTTATTTATTATCACATATGAGCTGAAAGTCTCAATCTTGATGATTGCCTTGCCTTAGAAATTGCTATTTATAATTACATAACAGTCGGTTCCCATTTGTGGAGGCAGGCATCTTTTGCACTACGGCAGCGCAGAGCTGACAAACTAGTAACTATAGAGACAGTCATTACGACCCAAATGAGACTGTGGCAAGTTAGGCCTGTATACAATCCTACAGAGACTAATAAAATATTATTTATAAAACTATCCATGTAATCTAGACTTACACAAGCCACGACTGGCAACCGCCCGGGTATCATGGAGGCAAACAATTCCAAGTGCTGGTTGGCGGTTGTTGCGTTTTTTTTATTTTTTTTTTTCTGAGTGGACTTGCATCTTCCTCTTGCTCTTGATCCATGTTTGTTTTGGTCATAGTGCCCAAAACAGGGGGACGAATCACCTGGACAGCAGTGGTAAGGTGAGACAACGATAGTGAGCTCAGGCAGGAACAGTCGTGAATCTATGTGAGAACAGCGACTGAAAGAGCTCCATAACAGGGACGAGGCTGCCAGCTATGGCACCCTCTGAAGCTTAGGAACCGCAGAGGCAGCAGCTTGCCATTGGTAGCTCAGGAAGCGAGCTGAAGAGCACAACAGTAGCTCGGAGAGGCCTGCCAGGAAGCAGGGCTGATGGCCGGGAATGGGTTACAGCTGGCCCAGGCAAGCAAGAGGCTGACTGCAGAGGATCGTGCAGAGGAAGATCGAATTATTCTACCGGGTGGAGGGAGGTCCGTAGGTAGGGTGTAGTGGCTGCGGCTTATCTTGAGGAGAACGATGTGACATCGAAGGAGTCCGCCAGAATGACAGAACAGGAAGAGACGATGGCGGGCCGAGGCTAGAGGGACAGATACATGAGGACCACTGAGGATCAGAGGAGCCTGTGGCTGGAGTGATTGATGGAGCAGGATAGGAGAAGGCTTCAGCTGGTCTGTCTCTCTGCTAGAGGTAGGATACGAAACAGTCCACTAGGGCTAAATTAAAACAGCTTTTTTAAGAGCCACTCACAAACCTGTTAAGAGCATTCTCAGTGTCATCCTTTGTCAACATTAATTTCTCTCTCTTCCATTTAGATATAAATAAGCTTTTCTCTACAGCCTCCTTTCCTAAAAGAGTGGTCAATTAATTATACTTTCTCATCTTCTAATTTTTATACGTGTCAATGTACTTAAGTCAATATTACTGAGGAATTTATGGATTTGTTTCTCTGATCTAATGAAAGTAAACCTCATCATCACTTGACAAGATAGGAAAGCCATTTTGCACCATGATGGCCTCCGTATTGTTGGAGGAGAGAGGAAGTGGGTGTGTTGAGGGCTTAACAAATGCACAACATTAAGAGCGCTTCACAAAATTGGCCCCTTTACAGTCAGACGGCAGAATGTCAAGCTGCAAATACTGAACATAATGCCCATTTTAAAACCAAAACTAGGGAAGGCAAGATATAGCATTGTCAGGTTTAGTATGCAGTTAAAAATGGGACTCAAATTGCTCTGGTTTTTATCACTTAGGTTATAAAAAATCAGGTCCAGTTCTAAGTGTTAAATCTTTTTTCTAAACTGTAATCCTTAAAATGTTTTGCTTCATAGGTGGTTTTTAACTAGCACACCTTTTTAAGGCAGTTTGAAATAAAAGTATAAATGAACATGATATTGTTACAAATTGAAAAAAATCTTTTAAAAGCAAAGTAGCCAGTTATGTCCCAACTAATGTTTTAGAGTACATACACTGTATATATTGCAGCATGTGGCAGACATGAATAGAGGCTAATAAAAATCCCATGGTTTCACACTACATGTATGATTCACAACAGCAGAAAACTTACACTGACAAGCACATTGCATTGCTTGTTGTTTATTGAAGGTTATTTTGGTGGGTGACTTCATCGCAAAATGAATTAACTGCTAATTTACAATTAGAAAAAAGTGCTTTTTGTCAGCCTCATAAAATGAGGCAGAAATGTGGCAGAAAGGTCATAGTTCGCCTTGAAATGGTAATGGTAAATTGTCCTGCCCCTCCATAAGCGGAAACCATGCTTCGCAAACACAGTTTACAGCGGGAAGCTGCTGATCTTGATGGAGGACATAACTGGGTAATGGAAGGAATACTTTGAGGATCTCATAAATCTTATTATGACCCCTCAACTGGTGGAAGGAGAAATATGGGAATCTGAGTTGTGCTTGTTTATCACCTAGGTGGAAGCAACTGAGGTTGTTGTGGGGCCGTCATGGCTGGCATAACTAATAAACATCAGAACAAGCTGAAGGGGCTATGTCCCTCACCTGGCCCGAGAATGCCTCTGGCACCCCTATTAGGAGCTTGAGGAGGTATACAGAAGAAGGGGGGTCATCTTTACTTGGGCAACCACTGCTCCCACGCATCAATAAGCAGAAGACAATGAGTAGTGTGTTGGTAAACAAAGAGTATTGGGATCCCAAGATTATCCATTACTGCAGTATTTAAAGGATGCCGCTACATTTTGCCCCTGGAGGCTACAAATTTATCATAAACAGACAAAGAATGTAATGATCCTCAGTCTTTTTAAATAAAGTGATTATCTTAGATCACCTGCTGTTCTGTTAATAACAACATGGATTCTTACACCAGGTGGTATGCTTTCAACACGTATGTTTACTGATAATGGATTTGATCAGCAAACAAACATCTTGAATCAGTACTGACAGCATTGAAGGGCTGTTTTGGCATCAGGAGATGTGAAAGAGTGCTTGTTTTGTGCATTATCACTCTATCCTTTTAGCACTCCCATAAAAATTCACAGCACAGAGTCCTTGCATTCAAAAACGATGATAAAACAGGGTTATGGTGGATCTTAATAACCTCAACAAAGTAGGATTATTAACATGCAACAAATTTTTCCTTTTATATGGCGGCGAAGAGTGTTTTTAACATAGAAGTGCAATTAAAATGGTTTTGCTGCACTTTGATGAACATTTTAAGTATTACTATTTATGCATACCAATGTTCTTGTTAAAGCTACGTGGGAGAAAAACTTTATTTTCAGTAGCAGTATTTGTACCATTTATGCCATTTATATTAAGTATGTAAACATGAGAAAATGATCCAAATAACTTACAAATAAATACTCAAAACAAACACAGTATTAAAGAAAGAGAAAAGAAAAATTAAACCTTTTTTTTTTTTATAGATTCCAGTTGTCTGGAGACCTTCACACTAATCTCTGCAAGTCTCTCCACTGTAAAGTTTTATTAAATCTTACATTACCTGTGTAAATTCTCTGGGTCAAGTCACTCAGAAAACTGCCTTAAATCGGAGGATACTGGACTATCACTGAGTTTTCCTGAAGACATTTCTACACCAGGAGACTTTGTCAATTCTGTTGACTTGTTACTCCTGGATTGGTGTCAAAATGAAAACAGGCCTCCAGTTTAAGGCTGTTTTTGATAGATCCTACATTGCTCCATGACGTTACCTAAAGTTTATATTATACATTTTTAGGAATAAAGGTAATTAAAAATTCTGAAGGCCTGTTTTCTGGAGGCCTGAAAAATTCAGATTTACAATCTGGTATTCATTTGGCTCAAACCAAGGAAAAAAGATTCCTTGCTGCAGCTATATTTTCTAAATAAGGGTAATTATACATTGAATAAGGTATATATACATATACATATACATATACATATATATATACATATACATATATATACATATACATATATATATACATATACATATATATATACATATACATATATATATACATATACATATATATATACATATACATATACATATATATATACATATACATATACATATATATATATATATATATATATATATATATATATATATATATATATATATATATATATATATATATATATATATATATATATATATATATATAATGGGTGTCATTTGACAAACAAGAACAATAAAGCATTTCAAGTTTTCTCCTCTAAGAATACATAAAAAAAAAAATAAAAAAATAAAAAAATTAACAGACACAAACAGACCCAGAACAGACAGTCATCCTAATGTTGTGGCCTGTTGGTTCCTTACAGACAATGTATTTGTTTGTTTTTTGTGTGTTATAACAGTACTACACATGTCCTGATCTCCCATTCTAGGAGTTTTAGTAGCCTTGTTTGAAAAAAGATCTACAAAAATTGGGATTTTGGTGGGGGAGAATACCTTTACTTAATATAAAGATAATCCATTCCTTTGCAATGGCCCCATTACTTTGCATCACATCTGTTCATTTTGCAAAAGATATATAAAATAACATTCTTTATTTGTCATAAACAAATAAGATGACAGTATAATTCATATGTGGTTGTGCCTTTTTATTTTTGGAAGGTTTGGCTAAAGTGTTTATATTTTTATTTAAGAAAAATTATTGAATTCACTATTGCGCTCTGAAAATCAAGCAATTAAATGGCCAACTGTGGTTTATAGAATTTCCCCAATTTTAGGCTATTTTGGTTCTTCATAGAGACATATTTCTTTCTTCTCCATAAAATAAACTAGCAAAAGCAATTATTAAAACTTTATTTTTTTTAAGATCTTATTTTTTCAGTTTCTAGATCTACGCCAAACTGCTGGTACGTTTTTGACTTCAGTTTCAGTTCTTCCTGCTGAGGCGTTGAGTTTGTGTTGAATGGAACAAAAGGAGATTAAATACCCTGATGAAATGCGGT